CAAGAACCGTGACGAATTCGCCGATGAGCACGGCGGCGGCGAGATCTTTGGCACCGCACGCGACCTTATCCGCCCTGGCACACCTGGCAGCATGATGGGTGCTACCGACTCACGGCCAGGCACCCCGGTCGGCGGCATGACGGGACGTCGGCAGTTCTCCATAAACACGACGGCCTATGGTGGCGGCGGCCGTATGGGCAGTATGGGAGGTGGTCCCGAGACGGGCACGATCTACGAGCCCGGCTATAACAAGCCTGGCATTCCCAGTCCCCCGATCGCCAACCAGTCTCAACCCATGATCAACCCAGTGCGCACGCGGTCGCCCTCGCCCTATGACGGTATGCGCTCAACATCCCCTGGTCCCAATGTGTTGCTGGGCACCGGCCTCGAGTCGTCGCGGTCACGGTCCCCTATGTATAGCGCCGGCCATAGTGGCAATGACAGCCTGAGCGACCTGGTCGGCAACGCCGCCGCCATGCCGGTGGCCGCGCCCATCCCTCGCCGCGCGGTTCCCGGTCACTCAAGCAACAACGGCTCGTTCGGCGCGCGGCAAGCCAGTGGGCCCGCGCCCGGTATGTACGGCGGCGGTCCTGGCGGCTACGGCAATTTGCCGCAGGAGGAGCTAGAGCAGGACCCTACGCATTATGACTACTTCCGCGGCGGCAATCGTCCCGCACGGCGCGAGACCAGCAACACTACGCCGAGTAACCAGAGCCGTGCCAACCTACCGCAGGGGGAGCCGGACCAGGATCCGACGCATTACAACTACTTCCGGGGCGGCAGCCGACCTCAACGGCGTGAGACGAGCAACGTCTTGCCGAGCAACGCGAGCCAACAACACAACTACCCGGGCAGCAATAACCGCAGCAACACAACGGGCGGTATGGGCCGACCACCGCCGAGCTAGGCGCTCGACGACACTGCAGGTCACTACCCGGCCACGCGGCCACGCGTCCAGCGAAGCCGAAGCAATCTGCATCGCGAACTATGGCCACGTTGAGTGCTTTGTGGCGTCGACATCTCTTTCCTTTCTTTGCTTTTGATCTGCGCCCTTTTTACCCAACTTACATTATATTGTAATCTTTTCCTGTATGACTTCGCGGCCTGAACTGGTCGTCAGAGCGCGAAGCCACAGATGCAAGATTTATGTCGTTTATACTTTCCTATTTTGTCTTTTGACTCTTGATTATTTCCCCCCTTTCTCCTTTGTCCATTTGCCATATCATCAAAGCTATCCGATTTGCATTCTTTCCTTAGAAGACTCTCTTGTTTGTCGGTCAGCTTGGCAAGCGCGGCCAGAAGGACCTTGTTTGCACTTTTCATTACATAGAATGGAGGTAGCGGTCACATAAGCGGCACATAATTAGCGCGTTCCTGAGACATGGGAACGACTCAGCGAAGAATGAATTTTTCTTTTCTTTCTCGTCTATTTAAGATTTCCATATACATGTAGACTTTAAGTTTGCGGACGTGAACAGAATGTTTCTATGCGGGGAGTCTATGTGATACGTCTCTGGTATCTCTGGGTCGTTTGGTCTTCGTGACAAAAGAACAAGAAAAGTAGCAACAGACAAACAACCAAGTAACGGGCATATACATTAAGGGAACATGTAAAATCAAAACAGCAAAGAATAAAAACATGGAACTTTTGCGCTCTTCTCTGGCCCACAGGGCCTCGGCCCCTTTGCTCATCACCACGTCACAGCATCACGGCGGCGATGGACACTGGCCGCCCATGACGTTATGGTGGTAGAGGTACGCCTCCATGCACCCGCGCAGATGCGCGGCGGCGGCCAGGACCACACACACGTGGAAGATCTGGTGCGAGCTGCCCCAGATGTCAAAGCGGCCCGGCCGCCATTTCTCGGGCCACCGTGCCGCGTACAGAAACGCCCCCGCGACGTACAGGGCGCCCTGGAGCAGCACCCAGTTGAGGCCCATGCGCTCGTTGAGACGCGCATACCGTGCCGCCCACGCATCCGCGGCGCCACCACCACCACCGGCCGCGTCCGCCTCGAGGAGCAGCAGGCCGTGCAGAATGGGCACGACGCCCGACATGCCCAGGGCGACAAAGAGCAGAGCACGGTACGGGCGCCATGCAGGCGTGCGGAAGTGCTCGAGCCACGAGACGGCCAGGCAGGCCAGGCCCAGCAGCACAATGAGGTACAGGTAGACAGTCAGCCAGCGCGGGTGGCAGAAGAAGCCGTAGTAGAGGGTGGGCACGTAGCTGCCGACAATCAGAAACACAATGCCCGAGTAGTCGAGCTTGTTGCCCCAGCGGGCGACAGCGGGGCTGTGGTTGCTGAGGGCGTGGTAGGTGGCGCTCATGCCGAGGCAGGCGACGGCGCCGGCGGCAAAGCAGCTGAGCACGAGCGTCGACGACGCCGTCTCGCCGGTGGTGGCGGTGTTGCCGCCGGCGGCGGCCGCCGTGACGGCGTGGTACTGGGCCACGCCCAGGAGGCGGAGCGCGGCCGCCCCCATCGCAGACAGCTGGGCGCTGGCCGCCCGGCCGAGCCGCAGACTCGGTGTCGGCAGGTAGTCTGCGACAAGGGCGCCGACCGCCCCGGCGAGCCGTGCGCCGATCGTGCGGAGGTGTGCGGCCACGCCCTGGGGCAGCGGCCACAGCAGCACGTCGGCGATGCTGGGCAGCTCGTCGACGTACAGCGCCACGCCCAGCAGGGCCGCCACGAGGGCGCCGGCCAGGTGGGTCCAGATGTTGACCGACTCGTTGTGGATGCCGAGGACGCTGGCCAGGGAGGCCACGTAGCTGTGCGAGGTCGGGCGGTAGCCGCCGAGGATGTAGACGTTGTCGCGGCGCCACTCGGGCAGGTCGTCCCAGTGCAGCAGGGCGTAGGCAACGCGCTTCACGGACCGGCCGCTGGACGTGCTCACATTGCTGCCGTGGCGGCTGTGCGTAAAGCCCGTCCGCCCAGCGCCGATGCTCTTGCTGTCCGGTCCTGGGTCCGTCTGTGTGCCGAGACTGTGGATGCTGCTGATGCTGCTGTTTTTGCTGTGGCCGCTCGAGTCGTTCCCACTGCTGGTGCCGATGCTGCCACTTGTGTTGCGCATGGCCGTCTTTTTCGGTTGCCGGCCCCGACTGGGTTTGTGTTTGGACGGCATCTGTATCCGCGCGTGTGTGTATATGTGCTGCGCGGGCAGGGCCAGTATGTGTTATGCGTGTTGTATTGCAGGTTGCAGATTCGGTCTGCAGGTGGGCCAGGCCGATTTGCGGAGAGCTTTCAGGAGGTTTGATGGTCGATGGTGGCGCAAAAATGCAAGTTGCAGTAGCTACGCCCGAGCAATGCGCAAAAAATAAGGGGCGGCTGAGAGGTCCTCCTGGTAAGGTGGATTGACTTATATAAAGAAGAATGCAGTTCCAAAACAACAACAGAACTTGCAAGAGGCGACTACAATGGAAATTGAAGATAAACTTTCGGCTCTTGTCCGTCTCAACATTTAAGGTTGCCTGTGACGCTGGATTTTGTTGGGAGGTTGGTGTTAGTGTGAAAAATTAGTGGACTTTTCTTAGTCTAGCGGTCGGCTGTTTTCACCCTGCAGACCTAACAATTCTCTCCACCTCGGCTACTGCCGCCACTGAAACCCGTATTCGTTCCGCTCTACGGTGGCTGGGGGGCGACTCTGGTGTTGGTCCCTGTCTACAGGGGCTTTAGGGGGTGTTTGGTGAAAGTTTTTGACTGCTGCCTCATGGAGAGTTTTAGCGCCATCAGTCCCTTTTTGCATGTGAGAGGAGCCGCTTTCAGGGACCTGGGCCTGGCCCAAGTTTAAGTGGTTGCATTCATTAACGTGCGACCAACCACTGAACAACAGTGTGGTGGGCACAGGCCGCGATGGCATTATGACATCGTCTTATTCGGCCACCTTCAGTCCCCAAGATAAAGCTATTGTTTCAAGTGTTGTGTCTATTGCTGCTCGAAAATGAAAATAGAAAAGGTAAAAACAGTTGATGCCATGTGTCCAGCGCCATGTAATTCAAAGACAAAAGAGAGAAAGGGAAGAAACAACAGTCTGGAGTGCGCAAGGAGCGGCAGTTCGGCCGCGCTTGATTCTCCGTCTCCGCATGGCGTGAGTTTGCAGCTTTGGTGATCCATGCTCTCCTCTCACGTGTGAGGCCACCCTGACCTTCGCCGTCCTCACGTCACATCGTCGCAGGTCGTCGTCAGGGTGCGTATTTGTCGGCTCTCGTCTGCGCGGTCGTTCGTTGCTCGTTTGCCCGTTTGCCCGTTTGCTCGTTTATTTCTTGCCGCTCTTCTTGATGCCCTGGTTGCCCGTGTTCAGAGGGCCCTTGCCCTTGGCCTTGTCAGCCAGGTCCTTGCGTGCCTTCTCGTCTATAGTCCCTATGTCAGCATGTGCGTGCTAACCATCGCCCCATCGCACCATCGCCGCTGTGATCGGCTCGAGCCAGTGCCACCATAGGGCCACTCACCAGCACGCTTCTTCTCGAGGAAAGCCAAGTCGTCCTCGTCAAGCTCCTTCTTCTCCTTCTTGGCCGCCTTGAGGGGCTTGACCTTGCCACCTAGAACGAAAATGTCAGTGCCATGCCCCGTTCCACAAAGTCGCTGTCACGACTGTCACGACGCCACGGTCCTCCACATACCTTCACGGTTAGCGCCACCCATCTTGTCTGTTTTTGGAGTTTGTGGAGAGTGGTGAGAGTGGTAGAAGAGAAAACGAGCGTTGTTGGCCGGGTCTAGCGGTGCTCTGTCAGGCGGCTGCCATCAACGGAGAGGAAGAGAGAAGGCTGTGAGAAAATTTCCCCGCGATACTGCGACTAACGATTTGGCACGCGCGCCTGCCGCCCCCGGCTCGCACAGTGAACGGATTAATAAGACGCCGGACGGGCCCACTGGCCAATCAAAACGCATTGCGCCACCCCAGGCCTGCGACCCTTTGAAACTTTTGCTTCTCGCTGGCTTCCGTTAGGCACCACTCGCACCTGCCCTGTTTTACTTATCACCTGTCGCATCCAACCAACTTCCATTTCAGGCATCTTGTCGTCGACCTTTCCCAACAAATTCATCGCCATTGAGGCTATTACTGGCCTGCGCTTCGATACATCGGCGCACCGCATCGCGCACAATCGTCGACAAACACATATCCGTCTCAAGCTCACCAGCGGCCGCTCGCGTGACGCAAGCAGTGATTGCATCGTGCTTGCCGCTCTGCATCGATCTGTCCAGACTCTCCGGCGCGGCGTATGATTCGGGCCAATGTCCTGAGCTTTTCCTGATAGGTCCAGAGGATTTGATCCGGTTCGGTTCCATTCTCCCCCAGATAGAAGAAGCAGACACAGAAGTGAGAAGAGGAGGAAAGAGAAAGCAGCGACGAGGCACCGTTCGCACCGCTTAAGATTGCTCTTGGTGAGGTTGCTGGGGATTCAAGAGAAGAACTGCATTTTGGCTGACACTTGGGACCTCTCACGTCTTCGTTCCCCCGCCACTTCAGCTTGCCTGCGGATCGTCCTGCTGGCGTCTGCAAAAAGGACACAAGAGACACCAAAAGACGAGAAACAAAGACAAGAGACATCGTCGTCCAACCACCCAACATGGCCTCTCCCAGTTCGAGTGCCGACGAAGGCGAAATCGTCGAAAGACAAAGCGCCGGACCGTATAAGGCAAAGACATCTGCTGCTACTTCTTCTGTCAGGCCAGACGATGGCGGAGACCGTTTCAATGTTGACCGTCGCAACAGAATTTCTCGGGGCAGATCACCACGCTCGCCCGACCGGCTGTCTGGTGGCAGCTACCCGTATCGAAACGGCAGTGGCAACGCATCGCCTCCACGCGGCCAGAAACGGCCGCGGGACGACCGCGACGGCCGTGACTCGCGTTGGCCCGCTAGCCGAGAACGTGGCGACCGCGACCGTTACGACTACGACGATGGCCCGCGACGCCGCGACGGCCGTCTCCCCGATTGGGACCGCTACGAACGTGAGGACCGCAGCGATCGGGGCGATCGGGGCGGTCGTGGCGGGCGAGGTGGCAGCGACCGCGACCGCGACCGCGACCGCGACGTACTAAGCTACGATGACGACGGCGGCCGATATAACCGAAACGCTACTAGAAAGCGACAGCGCACGCGCAGCCGATCCCCGCCCCCATCACATCCGTCGTCATTCCGTGGCAATGGTAACGGTTACGGCAACCGGGGGCGCGACGAGCGCGACCGCCGTGACGATACCTTCCGCGATCGTGACTTTGACCGTAACCGTGACAGGAACTCTCACAGGAACGATCGTGACCGAAACCCTGACCGAAACTGGGAACGCGATCGCGGCAGTCGCTATTCGGATCGCGGCACGACACCTAACCATGATCGCCACGCCGGAGGCTCGCGCAAAGAAGACCGCCATGCCCCCACCCAGGAGCCTCCTGATTCTGCACCGGCACCAGCACCAGTACCAGCGCCAGTACCTCAGGAGGACTGGGTCGAACAGGCACCCATCGACGAAGAAGCCGAGATCCAACGGCGCCGCCAGCGCCGCCTGGAGATTCTCCAAAAGTCGCGCGCCTCCACGCCCATTGTGGCCCTCTCCAACGCCGCGTCCACACCTGGTGATACTGCGTCTCCGGCCAGCCCGTCCGTCGCGTCCCCTCGTGACCCCAACGACACGGCCGAATCAGTGAACCTGGCCAACGACCAGGACTTTATGAACATGCTCGGCAAGCAGAACACCCGTGGATCGGCCGATGCAAACGCCAACAACGCCGAAGACGGTCCGTCGGCCGCCGACTACGATCCCACGGTCGACATGGAAGAAGACGAGCGCCGCGACAAGCTCCAGCATGGCGGTACCGTTGCGGGCCTGCACGGTGCTACGCGTCGCGCGTCTCTTCTGGCAGCCGTTGACGCCAGAGACGTCCAGGCTGCCCAGGCAGCTGCCGAAGAGGAGTCCAAAGCAGACAAAGACGCCGCCAACGGCGCGGACGATGAGGACAACGAAGACGACGAGGACGACATGTTTGCCGAAGACTTTGTCGAGAAAAAGTACGAGGCCAGCAATGACGACGACGTCGTCGCTGGCAACGAGGGGGCCCTGGCCGTCGGTGCTGCACTTCCGGCCGCAGCAGCCAACGGCGGCGGCCTCCTCGACGGCGACGACATGCAAGGCTACTACAAGATTCGGCGCGGCGAGATCCTGGACGGCCGCTACCAGATCCAGTCGGCGCTGGGCAAGGGCATGTTCTCGGGGGTCGCGCGCGCGTGGGACATTACCTCGCCGGACAAGCGGCGCGAGGTGGCCATCAAGATTCTGCGCAACAACGACGCGCTGCGCAAGGGCGGCTACACGGAGATTGCCATTCTGCAAAAGCTCAACGAGGCCGACCCGGGGCACAAGAAGCACATTGTGCAGTTTGAGCGCGCGTTTGACTTCCGCGGCCACCTGTGCATGGCCTTTGAGAACCTGTCGATGAACCTGCGCGAGGTGCTCAAAAAGTTTGGCAACAATGTGGGCATCAACCTGCAGGGCGTGCGCATCTACGCGTACCAGATCTTTGTCGCGCTGGCGCACATGCGCCGCTGCAGCATCATCCACGCCGACCTGAAGCCCGACAACATCCTGGTCAACGACAACCGCAGCACGCTCAAGATTTGCGACCTGGGCACGGCCATTGACCGCGCGGACGCGGCGACGGCGCAGACCGAGGTCACGCCGTACCTGGTGAGCCGCTTCTACCGTGCGCCCGAGATCGTGCTGGGCATGCCGTACGACTACGCGGTCGACATGTGGTCCATCGGCTGCACGCTCTACGAGCTGTACACGGGCAAGATTCTGTTTACGGGCGAGAGCAACAACCAGATGCTGCGGGCCATTATGGAGATCCGCGGCAAGATCAGCGCAAAGCTGTACCGGCGCGGCCAGCTGTGGCCGCAGCACTTTGACGACAACGGCGGCTTCCTGAGCCAAGAGCGCGACAAGTTTCAAGGAAAGGTACGTGGTTGCTTGCTATGTTGCCCTTTTTTTTTTTTGTCTTCTCTATTTTGGGCATGCATCTGCCGTCCCCTCCCTTAACCGCCCGGGCATCCAACTGTCCACGCTCCTTTTACCCTGCATGCATATTGCAAGCGCGCCGCACTGTGCCGCATTCTCCTGAAAGGATTCGGATTCCAACATCGCGTGTGGTTCTGTTGGTGTCACCAACACGGGCGTTCCAAGGCGCTCCACGGCACTCCGAGGCCTCCTTCTGTGCCTCATCACAAAGTGATTGCATGTCGTTGGCGGCCAATCGTCCCTCCATCACCTGCCTCAACCGGCCCGGTCGCCGGCTGGGCCGCACGCTGCTGTTGTTCTTACTTCTTACCCCTCTGTGTCTTGTCTATTTTTTTTGTCGTATCCATTGCTAACTGCTCCTAGACCACCATCAAAACGCTGCCCGTCATCAAACCGGCGCGAGACCTGCGCACCCGCCTCCAGGCGGCATCGACCGGCATGAGCGAGGCCGAGTCCAAGGACCTGCAGCTGTTCCACGACCTGTTGGACCGCTGCCTCAATTTGAACCCAGACAAGCGGATTCTGCCGAGCGACGCGCTGCGGCATCCCTTTTTCACGGCCCGGGCTGGACAGAAGTGAGAGTCATTGAGGAGGGGGACATGGGTACGACGACGGCGGCCGCCGAGGATGGATCCGTTTAGGTAGGCGTTTTATTTGCTGCTTTTTTTTTGTCGGAGGGTGTTTGTATTTGTTCTTCCCGGGATGCATTGTACAGTTTGCAACACGTTGGCGGGTTTTCATTTTTTTTCTTTTTCATCTGCAGCGACCTACTAGACGAAGACACTAGACGAAAAACAAAGGCATAGCAAATACAAATGCAACTTGTGTATGCGGAAAGCGTCTGGTCCGACTTGCCTACCAGCGCTGCCTGTTGATGTGTCGTCTCCAGGATGTGTTTCATGCGGTGCAAAGGAATAAAGCCCAGAGCAGACTCTCACCACCGTCCTTCCGCATCGCTCATGGCCCTCGATCTGTGTAAGCTGGCCTTGCAGGCCCGTCCTCCCGTGTGATCTATCTGCGGCTTTCCCACTTTAATTCCTGCCGTTTCGTCTCACACTCGGCCGCTCTCGCATGACTGACCATCACGTCCGTAGGATCCTCTTTTCGAGGTAGCGTGAGCTATCACTTTAGTTTGGCCAGTCACTTTCGTTTTCTTCTCTCTGCAGATCGACCATCCTATGCACTTGTATTTTTTCCTGCCATTCAAATCCTCAAAAGACACGCAGGAGGGGCTGGGGGACGAGACGGAATGGCTGAGATATGAAGAACAGCGTACTACGGGCCACGAGAAATCATGTGCTTTTTGTGCGATCAGTATGGCAGTTGTGTAACGAGGTAAGTAAGCACCTACAGAATGGCGGTCAACGGGCAGTTCAAGGCAGGCTCGGCTGGAACGTCAAATTGTCAAAATGCATACAAACAAAAAATAAATATTGGAACAAAGCGCAATTCGAGCCGACATACTCGATGCTGTTGACCCGAGTGCCACGTGTCAAGAGACCAGAGGAATAGAGCCAACGACGGGAGGCACGGCCGTCAAGGCCACATCCGACAATAACGAGACAGGGTATTCGTGGTTGTCTTCGCCAGTCGTCGGGAAAGAATAGACGAGGTCGGGCGAGTTCTCGTTCTTTTCCTTCCCACACGGGAGACACTCGTTACGAGGTGTCGGGTCAGGGGGGTTCTCGAGAGCACAAAACACGCAAATAGACACGACAGTGACGAGTCATAATACACAAGAAGGGGCGGCTTGGGTGGTTGCAGGCGTAGGAGAACGCAGGAAGATTACGCGAGTGTATATGATCGAACTGCGTTTACACGAGAGAAGACGAGAACCACGTTAAAGGCCAGTACGGACTAGCATCGACGATCATTCGGCTGCAAGCACTAGCAGCCTTAAGCCACTAAGATATAAAAGTATCAGACTAAGGTCTGTGAGACCAGGGCACACGGCGGGTCGTCGACTACGTTACAAGAGCGAGTGCTCGTAGAGTGGTCGTAGAGTGGTCGTTGAAACGACAGTCCGTAACATTTTGTATTTAAAGTATTTTCGTTTTCCTACAAAGTTATGTTTATAATTATTATAAATTTGTATTTTATTATTAAAATGCAGTGGGATGCCCCGCGCTGCTCTCACTGCTTATGTAACGAATGGTGATGGACATCTGTGCCTGAGGTAGAGCTTCCCCTGCCATTCTGCAGCATTTTCTCACAGTCGGTGGAGGAATCAAGGCTGTCGCCAGGACGTCCGATTCCAGGTCCTGTCCAATT